ATTCCTATTAACACTATGCCGTCCGGCGACACCACAGTAGTGTCGTGCACGAAATAGCGGTCAACGGCCAGCGACACCACAGTGGTGTCTTGCGCGAACTAACGGTCAACGGCTAGCAGTGACACCACAGTGGTATGTGCTTAGTATCGCACAGTGGCTAGCGGCAGCACTTTAGTATCTTTTGCATTCTGTTGGTGTTTTGTTTATAAGTTACATACGTCAACAAGTTGTCTGTTTTTATAAGTACTTGTGCCCTTTCATCATGGCAGACGAAAGAGACGATACAATTATTTACGATGAATGCGCGGACGACTTATCTGACGTTCCGGTCGACTTGGTCGATTTGGAAGAAGACAATGGATATGAAAAAAATGAAAGTGAAGCAGAATCGTCGGAAGATAGTGAAATTCCTACAAGAAGACTTCGGCGAACGTTACGGTTACCAAGTGATTCGGACGAATCAGACGAAGAAGACAGTACACAGTGGTCAGACTTTGATTTAGCGAGGACCAATAATAAATTCGAAGGATCACCGGGTCCAAACATATTTCCCAACGATACAAAGAGCGTCGAGGATATCGTAGAATTATATATTGGGAACGATCTATTTGAATATATTAGCAATGAAACCAACAAGTACTACAGTCAAAATTGCAACAGAAGGAAACTGGATAAAAAAAAATGCCAAATTTGTAGACGTTACGGCACCCGAACTTAGAAAATGGTTTGGGCTTGCTATACTTATGGGTATTGTAAAAAAAGCAAGGATCGATGATTATTGGTCAACGAATCCGTTGATAGATACACCGATATTTCGCAAAACGATGTCCCGCAACCGATTCAGACAAATATTATCATTTTCACATTTTTCCGATAACAACAATACACCGGATAATGCCGACCGACTTTTCAAAGTGCAATTCGTGATTGATTATTTTTCTAAAAAGTTTAAAGAAAAGTTTAATCTAAGTCAAAACATTTCAATTGATGAAGGAATGATACCGTGGCGTGGACGGTTAAATTTTAAAGTTTACAATCCGTCGAAAATAACGAAATATGGCATTCTCATTCGGATGCTGTGTGATTCGATTACGGGATACATATCCTCATTCAAGATATACTCCGGCGTTGGACAGCCTTTAACTAAAACAGTGATGGATCTGTTGGCACCTTCTTATGGAAAGTGGCATCACCTCTACATGGATAATTATTACAACAGTGTAGAACCTGCAGGGATTTTACTTGAAAAGAAAATTCGAGTTTGTGGAACAATACGACAAAACAGAGGATTTCCGGAAAAATTAAAACGCGCAATGTCAATGTATTTGAAGCTCGTCATCAACGGAAAGGTGAAGTACTCGCAGAAGTATGGAGAGCTTCGAAAACTAAAACGATACGAATGATCTCTACAATACACAGTGCCACTTTGACTAACATTCAAACAAAATGTAGAAAAACCAATTACACAACAAAAAAACCTGAAAGCGTTTTAGACTACAACAAATATGTGAAAGGAGTGGATCGGGCAGACCAATATTTTAGTTATTATCCTATATACAAGAAAACTATAAAATGGTCAAAGAAGGTTTGCATGTACCTGTTTAATTGCGCATTA